AGAGAGGACTTGGAGGAGAGGTAGAGATACCTCGAGTTTCCTCTTTTGGTGAGGTCAGAACCCATTTTCTTCCATTGATATTCTGCTATTTATAGCAGAAACAACACAACATAACATAGAACATAAAACCCATAAACATGGAAGGGTGCAAACATTCACCCAACCGGAGAGGAGAAACATGCTTTCTCTTTCTCTCTCAATTTTCATCAATTTCTTCCTTCCTTTTTATGGAGGAAGACTACACATAAAACAATAATATTTTTCTACCTAAACTATAATTATTAACTACCTAAAACATTGACTAAAGTGATGAAGTTTGCTGCCATTTCTTGTAGCCCATGTGAAGCTCCATGCTGCTGTCACTTTGCTGCTACTGTGCAGTCATGTTGCAGTATCATTTAGCAGATCTCATTTCACTGCATTTTCAGCTTTCATGCCATAGCTCCAACAGTCTATACCATTGCATGAGCACTCTGGGCCACCAACTTCTGCTGCTTTTCGAGAGTCTCCTGTGAATTTGTCTGGTGGGTTCTTGGTTCTAGTCTAATTGTTGGATGGAAATGTTATTTCTGTCTCAATATGCTTACCTATTGCTACTGAATAAAGTTTTCAGGCTTTTATTGTTTCTTTGTCTGGGACATAAACCACCTCAACTTGCCATTCAATCCTCTCCACCAGTACAGCGGCCAAGAAAGAGACGGAGAACATGGGGGAGGTTCTTCGATGCTGAACTAGTGTGGTCTAATAGGTATGTCTGCCAGGATGATATGTATGGCATTCTTTTCTTTTCTTTTTTTTTTTTTTATTATTTTTTATTTTTTTATGCCAAATGTTGATTTATAGGAAAATGGGTAGGTCTATGGAGAAGGCACTCGAAGATTCTAGTGATCTAGTACGGAAGAGAAGGAGTGTATGTGCCTCTGCTTTGGCTGTATGGAGGTCAAATAGCATTCTCAGAAAGGGACAATTATTTCATGGGCCTTCAGTAACAGGTAAGATGGTCCTTCATCTTCAGATTTTTTTCTTGCATCTTGGCTTCAAGGTTTAAGGAATAGGTTTGATGAGAACATGGATACTGTGTACTTGCAGGGTTGTGTGTTGATACATCTGAAATGTTTGAGAGGGACTACACCTTTGCAAAACCCAATTTAGCTGTACTACAGGAAGCTGCTTCAAGTCCTAGGATTTTACAATCTCCTGCTCCAAGCACAGAGGCTGGGGATTTGCAGATTCCTGCTACTTCAACTGCAACTGAAGCTAGCCCAGAGCATAGGGCTGGAAGATCTGAAGCTGCAGTGTCTGAAATCGACAGGGAAACTGAATATCTTCGAGATGATCAAGGCAGTGCTTACAACAATCTTTTACATGAATTTGAGCCCTCCCCATCAAGGCCAATATGTTCTGCAAGGGATGATTCATCTCCACTATCAATTAACAGTTTAAGATCAGAGACAATACCTCGGGCACTTCCAACACCAGATGCTGCAGCATCCACTGGAACTCATGGTTCTGAGTTTGAAACACCGAGGGCATTCTTGGATGAGGGGCTGATTCTGGGAAGCACGGGTCTTTCACATATTTCTGAGATGCTGTGTTCTGCAGAAGCAAATGTAAGCTTCAATATCTTGCTGCTTTTGAAATGATATAATGATGTCCTTTGTTTTCAAGGATCTCATGCATCATCATTTTAGATTGTGCGTTTAATTCCATTGAGTTATATTGTAGGATCTTTACTTTCTTGAAGATGATAATAATTCCCCAACTGGTAAGTGAATACATTTTATAATTTTTTTTCCAGTTCATATGCATGGAAATAACTTTTTGTACACCTGTTGCAGAGTTCCAAGCAAGTCATGCAGTAGATTCCTTGTCTGTGAGAACCAGGTACTTCTTCTTGAATGAAAGAAACTTTGTTCTTAAGGGTATATGCCTTGAGTGGCCCATAATATATATTCTGTGTTTCTTCTATACAGAGCAGTGGCTCAATATTTGAAGAAGCAGTCACCTATCACTGCTATCTCAGAAAACTCATCTGGAGATCTCAGTTTGAATAAGATCTTAGAAGGAAAAACAAGAAAATTATGTGCTTGAATGTTTTATGAGACATTGGTATGTTTCAATTCATCCCTGTAATATATGCTTGTTTCATTTGGATGATCATCTGTTAATTCTTTTGAACATAGGGTTCTCATAATTGTTTCCTATTTTTAAAAGCATTGAGAAACCCATTTCAACTTTATTGTAATATAATGCCTTCCTGATATTCATTGACCAAATACAGGTTTTGAAGAGTTATGGAGTTATTGATGTACAACAAGAAAAAGCTTGTGAAGATATCACTTTGAAGTTGACTGCAACTCTATCTAAGGCCCAGATATAAGGTTATTATATTTATTCTGGTGGACTGGCTTTTATGTTTATTGCCAACTTTTTTAGTTGCCTTGCTGTTTTCCCTTTATTTATTATGAATATCTGTGGAAAAACATCTACAAAAAGTGAACTAACTCATAGTACCTGTTGTTAACTTACAGGTTCCAAAATGAGCAAGTTGCTGCCAAGCAGAGGTCAGATGCTTCATGGGGTGTGTATGTTTTCTCTGATACGAATCCCTACCTTGGTCATGAAAATCCCATTAAAGAAGGTCAAAAACTGCTTTGGAAAGGGCTTTTGAGTGAAGCTGTGCTTGCTTTAGAGGCTGAAGTTATAAAGCACATCGACAATTCTGAAAGTTGGAGGTTGCTTGGAGTAGCCCATGCAGAGAATGATGATGATCAACAGGTTTTCTTAGCTTTGCACATTAATCTGATAGATTATGGTGGTTGACATTTAATTCTGTTTTTCCTTAAATTAAGGTACTATTAGGTTGTGTTTCATTTTCTAAGACTCCCAACAAAATCCATTTTGGGGAATTGGTTTGCAGATTGCTGGATTATTCAATGAAGCTGTTCAAATGTCACCTGAGGATGCTGACGTCCACGTAGTACTTGGTGTCCTATATAATTTGTCAAGGGAATATGATAAGGCTATTGCATCTTTCAAGATAGCTTTGAAACCCAAACCTAATATGACTACTCCCTCTGGAACAAGCTTGGTGCAACACAAGCAAAGAGTGTGCATGGTACCGAAGCAATATTGGCCTATCAACAGGTAGTTCCTACATCATTACCCTTTTACAGTATAGAAGATTAGTTTATTCTACTGTGTTTTATGCCAAATTAATTAGATGCTGAACACAAAGGTATTTCAATTCTAGAGTTAGTTACCTTTCGGCTTGCAGGGTGGACGGGGGGTTTTATGATTGTGAAGTCGTTTGTTTGCATCAGCGTATTCAGTTACCAACTTCCACATCTCTTTTCTAATCTTTATTTTCTTAAGTCCCAACTTAGCCTTTTCTCTCTATCTTCAGGCACTAGATTTGAAGCTTAATTGTGTTCGTGCTTGGGCAAACATGGGTATCAGTTATGCAAGCCAGGTTTTTTCTCATGCTTTGCTCTAGTGAAGTCACTGCTGTCTTTTGGCAATCGCTGGATTGCACCTGTATGTGTTGCTCTTTAATATTTCTGGAATGGTAATTGTTGTGAATGAATTTTAATTTATAACATGGTTTGTAAGCCACATGTGGGCCCAAAAACCTTCTAATGCTAAAATAAAAGGGAAAGAAATTGGTTTTTACATGATTGTATCATTGACCACGATGCACAAGTCTTTTTGAAGATTTATGTAGAAAGGTAACAAAGGCTATGGAATGTTTAAAGCTTATAGTTGGAGGTTTTTTGTGGTGTTTTTGTTAGATAACTAAAATCTACTCTGTAGAAAGGGTTTCATTACAGAAACTCTTACTTGCCAAAATAATACATGCACATTATGATGACCGTTCTGGAGTGCATGAACACTGACATTCTTCCCCTCGTACATGTTATTAGTTGGCTTCTTGTTGGTTATATAAACAATGCCTAAGTGAAATGTGAAATCAAGTAGCATTCCACGTTGTAGATACTAGATTCTTAAACGCGATGAAGCTAATATATTTTATCATTTATGCCTAAAATAATAAGACAATCAATTCCATGAAAACCAATTGCTGTTGGAGGTGCCATACAGTGAGTAAAAGAGAAAATCATTGTGAGAAGAATAGCCTAAACAAGCAGTTGACTCCTCATTCTTTTTGACACGATTATGTGGATTTCTTAATCTTATTATTTTATCTGTTTTCCCTGAATGGAAATATACAGTTTGATCTGATTATTTTCCTTTCTCTTTTTCATCTAGGATATGTATGAGGAATCAATCCAGTATTATGTCCGGGCACTCACAATGAATCCCAAGTCTGATAACGCCTGGAAATATCTAAGAATTTCATTAAGGTGAGTTCGTGAATTAGAGGTTCCTGGGTTGGTTTTAAAAGAGAAGATGAGAAATGGAGTGTTCACATTAGATTTATATCCTTTTCCTTTTTCTCTTGCTGCTGTGCATCTAGGAATGACCTGTTGGGAGCTTGTGATTCCAGGAATCTCGACGTCCATCAGTGGGAGTTTCCGTTATAATTATTGTATTTTGATTTTGGCGTCCCTTTTGTGTCGTGAACTAAACTAATTCATACCCATCTTGGAAGATGTATTGGAAGATGTAGTCCGGGCTATCATTCATTTACATCTGCAGTGAAAACCAAAAGGGTAGGCACCATTTGATTTACAGTTGACTCTCTTGCAAGAGTTTCTAGTTAAACATAGTTGTTGAAAATTTGAAGAGGACAATATATGGATCATTCTTTGTACACCATACGGTGAATATATTGAAATTATAGCGGACAGCATATCATCTGCACTGGAGGAGGGAAATTGTGATAGGAAAGTGGCTGTGACTTGATGGAATTTGTGGTAGGAAAGGGCTTGTGACTTGATTGATTAATGGAATAAAATTATCTAGTTAAATTCAGTAAACTATATTTGTATTTTTTTTTTAAAAAAAATTATTTTTATTCAAGTAATTGTACTTTTCTCACGTGCCATTGAAGGTAAGATTGTGGGGTGAAGGTTATGCCAGTTTTAGATCTTAAATTTTGTATTGTGAACACTTTTGGTTTTCAAATTATTTTTAACAATTTTTTGGTTCTTGAACTCTACAACTTGTACTTATTTTTCTTCTTTGGTTTTTTTTTTGTCAATTAAGTGCTGATATGACTTTTAATTTAATTAAAATTTTGTTTTTCATCAAATTTTGATGACATGTTCTTTATAAATGAATTCCTTAATTTAGTTAGACAAAATATGTGACACCTATGTTTCTAATTTTAGCTTAAATGATTAAAATAATAAATTAAAAAATAAAAATTATCCACCGATCAAATATCTTTAAAATTTAAAATAAAAAACTTACAAAAAGACATGTAAAATTCAGTTCTTTCTTCTCAAATTTCTTCCCCACTATAAACATTTTTCAGCCCCCATGAGTCCGTATACACTAATTTAATAATGTGTCACATTGTCATGTTATAAAAAATATATATATATATCATTTTTAAATTGAGTTAATAGTTAAATTATCATTTAATTGATAGAAAGGCAGAAAAAAAATGTAATTTATAAAGTTGAGAGACTAAAAAAATATTGATGATAAATTAGGAACCAAAAGTATTTAAAATGCAAAATTAGAGACTAAAATCAACATTTAACATATGGGGAATCCATTTTCTTGTGCAAATGAAAGGCTAGAATCAAATATCGAGACTTCATTTGTTAGTAAATACTGTGTTCGTTGTAGGATTTTTATTTTTTACTATCTTTAACAATATCTAAAATATTAATTAAATTAGTAAAAATATATAAAATTTTAATTAAAATTAATTAAGAATTATAACTTTATATAATTTTAGATAAGGAATAACTTTATATAATTTTAAATAAGTTACCGTATAAATAATTGTTAGACAAACTTTGTTATAAAGTTCAAAACTTCAAATGAACATGTATGCATGCATCATTGAACGGTTGAAGATCTATACTCTTTCATTTTTTTTGGCACAATTACATTCACTCCACAAATTTTATTTGGACAAATTACCTTTACTCATGCATACGTTTCATTTCAATCTTTATGTTCCACTAACTGTATCGTCGTGACGTTAATAAAACCCAGAAATAAAGCAAAAGGCTCCTAACACTAAAAATTGATGCTGCCATAACAGAACAGAACAGAACCACTTTCAAGAATGAATTACAATACAACTTAGCCTTGTCACGTAACCTAACCATGACAGCCTTCAGGATTTACAGTAAACATTAAAATCCTTACAACTCTGCAGCAATGATATTTGACATTAAAGCAATATGAAATTATGACTTTCATAATCCATATAGCCTATTGACATTTACAAAGCATAATCAGTACCGAGACATTCATAAAAAAAAAATAATAATAATAATTAATAAAAATCAGCAGCCAGATGTCGCCTTTATATATCACTAGCTGTGCAAGCATCATGACATTCAATAAAACCAAGAAAGCTGAAGACTCCTAAAACTAGAATGTTATGCTGCCATAACAGAACATAATCAATTTCTAGAATGAGTTATCATACTAATTATTCTCACAGAACTGGCGTACTCGAGAAATAACCCGTGTGTCCAATATGCATATGTTTTTCTCTGCATACCGGAATATATTTTAACCATATAAAAACACAGCAGAAGAAATTTAGATGTCAGAGTTTATGGGGGTTAAGCAAGGTGTAATTTAATAACTGAAGAAGAGACATAGCATCTTGTCAAAGGCAAACACATTCACATTCATTAATCATAGTGGCTAATCTTACAGAATAAGTGTGAAATGAGGATACATTAATCATTCATACCCTTAAAATCTGAAGCTTGGAAGAAAACGCAATGGCAACCCAATCAGGTTGTGAGGAGGACCACTGCAGCTGCTCAATCTCAGCCCCTGCAGTATAAGCCAGAATTGGATCCAGCCCCCCTTCAACGGGCTGACCCATAGATGATAAGTCCCAGATTAATGCCTGAGAATCATCCCCAGCAGTGCATATGTGGCAAGAGCTGTGTGGAGCCCAGGCAATGGCATTGACGCTGGCTTGATGCCTCTGCAACTCCACAACAGGAAGTGTTGGGAAGCGAATATCTAGCACGACGACCTTGGCACTGTCCATGATGATAGTGGCCATGTACCTGGGGTCTTGCTTGTTCCATCCCAAGCGGACCAGCGGGGTATCAGGTTCAGAGCTTTCATAAATGATGGTGGAATGCTCCTTGTCACGGAGGTCAAAAACCCTAACAGAGCCATCAGCAGAGACAGAGGCGAAGACGCCCACACCACCCCAGGCAATATCGTAAACCTCTTTGTCATGGGCAATGAGCTGGGTGTCGACAGTCTCACGTTCAATGTCCCAGATGGTGCAGGTGGTGTCAATGGAGGAGGTGCCGATCCGCTTGGGCTCAGCTTCATTCCAGTCGAAGGAAGTAAGAGGACCGCAAAATTCACTGTTTTTGTTGCCATTAAGGACGGACTTGAGTTCGACACGGGAGTGGTCATCAGAAATGCGCCAAATCCGGAGGAAGTCGGCGGAGGTGGCGAGGAGGTCCGGCTTCTGGCATTCTTTGTCAGGGATGAAGATGGTTTTGGTGGGAGGATAAGGGTGTTCGAAGGCGAGGTTAGGGTCAGAGCGGATCTCGCCGTTGGAGTCGTCAAGCTGGACAATCTCGACACGGTTAGGGTAATGCTCAAGCATGCTGGCAATAGAAAGACGGTACTTTTTGTCACGGCGTACGCTCCAGTTCATAGCGAAGATGTGCCAGGGGGCTTCATAGGTGTATATCTCGGAGCGTTTCTGCTGCTCGTCAGAGGCCTCAGGGTTGGGATCGCTACTGGCACCCATTCCAAATTCTTCCCAATTCCCTGAAATCTTAAAACCAAAGTGAAATAGTCAATTAGTACAAAGATTAGATTAGAGTTCTCTAATGGAAACAGAAGAATCAATCTGAAAAGCAAAATTGGCATTTCCTTTCCTAATTCCCACAACATCCAATCCAATCCAATACATCGGAAAGGAAGATTGAATTTTGAGTTGATGTAAGACTACCCTTGTTTTGATTGATAATTGACAATAATAATAACCACCGTTTCGTGACCAGGCGGAAGGGACTCACAAAATATTCACTGAAACAAAACATCAGTGGAAAAGAAGAGAAGCCACATCTCAGAACTCTTTCAATCAGCTGCTTAATTTAATTTAATATATACCTCGAAAAGAAAAGAAAAGAAAAGAAAAAACCTATTTGTGGAACTAGGGTTAGTTTTTATTTCGATTAAGGAAAACAAAGAAGAAGCATATTAGCATTGGCAATTTTCCTTTTTAATTTCCCAAATTTGCTAAGTAACAAAACATACGGTTAGGTAAGAAACGCACCAGTTAGCGAGGGCGATGAAGCAGGAAACCGGCGGCAGGTGAAGCTGCAGCTGCTACGGAGAAGAAGAAAAGCAATTGGAAGAAGGGAGATGATAGCAGAAAGGGTGGATGCTGTTGTTAGGGTTTTTCTGGGCCGCGTTTTGAGTCCAAATCCGGCCCAACGGGAATAGGAGTGCAGGTCTTTGGTAAATTACAAGTTTAGACCCCAATTTTCAGACAGATGTTCAATGTAAGTTTCAAACGTTTTTCTTTAAAAGGACATGGAAAAATGAATTCGGGTCAATAGTAATGGTATTAGGGTTTTTAGGCTCAGGTTTGGTATTACACTATTACCTAAATAAAAGTTCAAGTTGGCTTCTGTTAGGCCTTCCCCTAACCAAAAATAAAAAATGGGCCTCCTAAAAATCAAGTTCGAGGCCCAATTTTTTTGTGCCAAAAAATTAAAAGAACATTGGGGGAATAGTGGAAAAACCTAAAACTTCATTATCGCCTCTCTACGCCTCAATATTTTAAGATTCCCTCCCCACCCAAAGTTTTCCCCCCTCCAAAATCAAATCTAAAGATCTAATTTCTCTCCATCCTTGTCATTCCACCATGATTTTTTTCCATTCAACCATTATTTCTCTCCATCATATTACCACACTTGTTCATCCTTTGTTTCTCTAAACTTTGATGTGTTTTTGAAACTCTCATTTTCATGTCTTTTTCTCTTCGTAGCATTGTCAATGTTGCCGCCTGGTAGTACTCTTTCTACTTCTAACCTTATTCTCTTTCCTTATTTCTCCTTGATCCTTCTTTGGTTGTGATACCAAAAAACCCAATCTCTACCTTTTAGTTCTATTCTCTTAGCTCTTATTCTCTCCCTTCAACTTTTGTGGTGGTTGTTGGTAAAAGCTCTAAATCTTCTATTAGTTTGGTATTTTTGAAACCTTAAATTGATTTATCATGTGTTACCCTAAATTTGATATTCTGATTTGAGTAAATCTAAGTTTATCTTATGTCATTTAAAAATCCTAAAGTGTCAATTTGTAGATTTCTAAAATTAAACATCAGCTTATTTGCAATTTTAAATCTTGTTTCAATTTTACATTTATATGAATTATGTTGACTGTTAGGTTTGATATTTCAATTACAGTTCTTCTTCCTATTTAAGTTACATTCTTGATAATTGAAAAGATGGCAGAGATGCAACATAACAATTTAAGAGTACGTATTAAATTTTAAAAATTGTTGATGTTAACTTCTCTACACTAAAGATATATTTACTTTAAAGTATATAAGAAATATACTAATTTGTAGTTAAACTTGTATGTTAGTTGATATTTATGGTATCAACGATGGTTGCTTAATGTAGAACCAAGATGCTTAAACTATCAATAATGGGCAGCCACAAAATGTAGAAGTTGAATTGGGGGATAATTTCAGACAAGCATAAGAGGAGAGAAAGGCAAGAATGCTGTTAATGGCAAAAGAAAGAAAGGTAAGAAAAGATATGATGCATTGGATCATTTTATTGAGATTGTTGATAAGGTTGGGAGAAACAAAGCTAAATGAAACTACTGTAACAAGTCTTTAGCTTGTAATATTATAACTAATGGGACCTCCTCGATGAATATTTATTTACTGAGTTGTAGTCGGTGTGCTAGGTTTATAAGGAATAAAACAATGCTTAGCTATTGTGGTGGTGATGTTGAGAATGGTGGCCGAATGCCTTACTTAGGCTTGTAGCTGAATTAATCATAGTTGATGAAATTCCATTTAGTTTTGTTGAAAGACAAGGGTTTAGGAAATTCTATGTACTTGGATTGCCCTCTAATTTTAGGATTCCATCTAGAAGGTTAATAACTAGAGATTGTTATAATATTTATATAAATGAAAAGTTGAAATTTAAATCATTTTTTAAAGAATCAAGACAAAGATTTTCATTAATTACTGACACATGGATCTCAATTCAAAAAAATTTTTATATATGTCTAATTGCAAATTATATTGATGAGAATTAGAAGTTGCACAAAAAATCCTCAACTTTTTTCCTGTTGAGATCCATAAAAAGGGATGAGTTAGGTGACCAGAGATGTTTGAAAGACTTGGGTATTAAAAAGGTATATTCATTGATGGTAAATAATGCATTATCAAATGTTGGAGTTATTAGGGTTATTAAAAATGCTCTCAGCGAAGTGTTACGTTTTCCACTGTTATCGTACTTGTGTTTCTTGAAATTTGTTAATGAAGACTCAGTCTTCCATAAAGAAAGAAAAAAAAAAAAAAGGAATTTGCAAACTTCCAGATCGCACTGTCCCCTATGAACGTTAGCGTTCGGCCACACAATGAAATCCTTTTACGCGGAAATCCAGATGGAAACTCCCGCTTTGGAAATAACATTCCTACAAAGTTTCTTCTCCATATGGAACTAAAGAGTTACAAGAATAATAAAATCTTCAAAAAGAATTCTAACATTACCAGGGCTTGAATATCACTCAATGTTTTTCGCAGAAGTCCTTCGGAGAGGTATCAAGATGACCTGTGAAATTTGTCAGAAATAAGAACCAAACAAAATAAATCAGAGAAATGCAATTGGAACCCAAAAGGTTTGTCATTAAGAAAATCTCATGACGATTTGAGAACTCACCCGTTTTATTTATGAACTCCTAGCGGCATTTGATAAAATCATAGAATTGTAGGGTGGGAACATTTTGCTTGGATATCCACATATATTTGATTTTACTTCTACAAGCAGGATGCTAGAATAGATCTCCATCATCAGCAAGTTCATGCCTTGACGCTTCAATTAGGGACGACATGCACCTTGTACACAATACTGGGGATACTGTGAAGCAACTCTCATCTGGGTAACATACATTCAAAGGTACGATAGATGTTTAATAAACTACACATACCTTCTCAAGACCATTTATTCTTGGATTCAGGAAAATCTTGGACCATTCACCAATGCTCCCTCACATGCATCTTTCCTCTTATTGGAACAATCATAAGAATCATGAACCTAGACCTTTGATTGTTAGTTTGTTTTAGAGGCATTAATTGGGTGCATGGCTCGGCAAAATTAGTTGCATCAAATTAGTGCAAAACCCAGTTCTCAGCTCCTGGAGAAAAACAGGTCTCCCAACCAGTTCTAACAAAGCTTCCATTCCATCAAAATTGAATATTTTGACAGCTCCAAAGGCCAATGAGAAGCAGAAGTTGATAGGAAGAGACTTCTTTTCTTCTTTGTCTGAAGCAAAATTAGCGAGATGAATGAAAGAGCGCAATACACTGATCTCTATATAATCAGAAATTAAAATTCAATAAAAGAAGAAATTGCTTGCAGTTATGTCATTACACCACAAAACATCACTTTAACTTTCCTAGTAGAGTTTTAATGACATTTTGGCTTGTGACTTAACCATCAGTTAATATAAATCAAATATATGATAGATGTATGGTGCATGTAACTTGCTGTTGCTTTAAACAGAGGGTAAGAAATTCACGCTAGATGAATCAAGAATAGAGCAATCAGCAAAAGATTAATTACCTCTGTAAAATTAAGTTCGTATGTTATACATTCCTTTCTTCAACCTTCAATCTGTATCTTCCTTATCCACTGTTGTCTTGAAAAGGGCCCTAGAGAGAGATAATATATGATCAGATGGAGAAGAAGGTATTGAAATGAGAGATGTACTAAAATAGTGATTCAGCCAGATATTAAGATCATAAAACGAATGTAAAGAATAAGATTATTATTTGGCTCAAGATGTTTGGGATAAGGGGATTCAACCAGATATTAAGATCATAAAAAGAAAGTAACTGTTCAACCACTGGCCTAATTTGGATAAATAAATAAAATATGGTATGAAGGGATCACATTGAGAAATATAGAGTTAACATACCTTTGAAAAATCAAGATCTTTGGGATCGCACCGTCTGCCCATTGATTTTGATCCTATGAGTGTGGCAAATGGATGACCATTTGCGGCTGCCTTCTTGAGCATACCCCATTAAATTGGGACAATGCTCTATATCAAGACATGTTAAGTTCAACAACTCAATTGGGATAGCCTGCAATTTTGGACATGATTGTATGCCTAGTATAGAGAGATTTGGAGATGCAGATCCATCTTCCCACCATGTATGAAGCTCTGGACAATCCTGAATATGCAACTCTTGAAGGCAGTCAAACACGATCATGTCTTGTGCTTCTGTCCATTTCTCCAGCTTTTTCATGTTGCTTAAAGTAAGTTTTCTCAAAGCTGGAAATGGTGTAATTGAATCTCCTCTGCCTTGGCTGTTGCTTGCGCACCATGTTTCGAGCTTTGAGCAATCCCCAATATGCAACTCCTCAAGGCAAGAAAACACAACCATGCCTTGTGCTGTTTTCCATCCCTCCAGATTTGTCATCTCACTTAACATTAGTTTTCTCAAAGCTGGAAATGGTAGGATTGATTGTTCCCCACCTTGGCTGCTGCTTGCGCACCATGTTTTGAGCTCAGGGCAGTGCTGAATATGCAACTCCTCAAGGCAAGGAAACACGACCATGCCTTGTGCCCCTGTCCATTCCTCCAGCTGTGTCATGTTACTTAACTTGAGTTTTCTCAAAGCTGGAAATGGTATTATTGATTGTCCCCCACCTTGGCTGCTGCTTGCCATGCTACTGCTTGCCATGCTGCTACTTGCCATGCTGCTACTTTGAGGATAAGACATTCTGCCTATCCTCTTCACATTTGGCATCGCCTTTATATTGAGAACCTTAAGCTTAGGTAAGAGTTCAAGACATGAAATATCACCACATTCATCACAATCAATCAATTTCAACTTCACAAGCTCTTCCACATTCATCATCCATGAAGGGCAGTTGCCTCCACTATAATTCTCAATGGTTAAGCTTTTCAAATTTGAGTGAGGTCGAAGACCTTCCAGAACATCCATATCTTTGTCATTGTTGGCTCTGTTTTCACTCCATACAAATTGCAACTTGATCAATTCTCCTTTATCTTCAAGTCTTGCCTCCTTAGCTTCTGATTGAGATAGTAGCTCAAGCTTGCAAATTTTCAGTTTTCCTCTGAGTTGGTTCAAAGATTTAAGCTCTTCAATTCTCCGACCCTTTTCTCTGCCCACAACAAATAGCGGTAAAGTCTGAAGAGAAGTTAATTTCCCAACGCTACTTGGCACATGCCTTTCATCATCAAAATAAATATGCCTCAAGCTGACTAGATTTTCAATACCACTTGGGAGCTTTTCCAATGACTTGCAGTCTGTGAATCTTAAAGTCTGCAAATTGTAGAACTTGGTGACAGATTTTGGTAGTCTTTCAATTACACTTTCTGATATGTCAAGGTATCTCATGCAATATTTCAATCTGCCAAGAGAAGATTTCAACTCATTTGCATCAGCAGCTGCTAGCTTTAAAGATTGCAAACTTCTGGACTTCTTAGGCATCAGGTGCAAAACATCAACATCCAAGAACAAAGAGCGCAACCTTTGAGGAACATCTTCTGGAACAGTTTGACGGTTTTCATTAGACTTAACCCTCAAATGCCGAACACTCTCCTCAACCCGAGGGGTATCCGGCCAAATACATGTTACATATTTTGCTGAGAGCAATGCAAGATTATGCACCTCATGATGCATCTTGCAAATCTTTATATTCCCACACTCATCCATATCAGCATCTTCCAATAAGTAATTGGATACCAAATCACTGAAGTACTTGTTACCAACATCTTCTTCATCTGATTTGCTGTGGGAAAGAAACCCATTAGCCATCCAATGCTGAACTAATTCATCTCTTCTAATTTCACAATTTTTTGGAAAAATTGAACAGAAAGAAAAGCATTTTTTCAAATGTGGAGGCAAGTGATCATAACTTTTTTTCAGTTGAGACAGAACCTCCTCTCTATGTGGTGCATGCCATGCTTTATTATCTCTGATAGCTGACCACTCCTTTATCCCAATACAAGCACCCAAGTGTTTGCCAAAGACAGCTGCAACTAATGGCAAACCCCCACACTGTTTTGCAATATCTTTTCCAATAAGCAACAACTGTGGATCTTCTATTGGAGTTCCCTTGGACGATCTGAGAACATTCTCCTCCATTATCAACCAGCAGTCTTCATCTGATAGCTTTTGCAATTCATGCTTATGCAAAGGAATTGTGTACATTATTGAAGCTACCCGTTTATTACTAGTTGTTATGACAACAGAGATGCTAGCAGTTTTCAACATTTCTGGCAGATAAGAGACGTACTCTTTTAACCTTCCAGCATCATCTTCATTCCATACACCATCAAGGATGAGAAGAATTTTTTCATTTTTTAACTTCAGTTTAAGATGATCAAGTATTGCATCCTCATTTGTCAATGCAGCGGCAGGACCATCAACATTTTCCAACATAGGTCTTAAAATCATATTTTCATCAAAATCCTTATGTGCTGGCACCCAGGCTACCAGTTTGTAGACGCCATTTTCCTTTGCCCTCGCATAAATTGATCTAGCTAATGTTGTCTTTCCAACCCCTGGCATACCAACTATGGAAATGCCAGAGAGGTGATGTTTGTTGCTCCAGTCTCCCAGCGAATTTCCAATTTTTGAGACTTCATTATTCTCTTGCAAAATTTGTAAATTATAAACTGAATTATCAGCTTCTCGCCTAGGAGCTTCACGATTTTGGTTGTGATTTATCAGTCTAATACAATTTGCTGCTTGTGCAATGCTATAGAAAGACTCATAAAACTCCTTAATTTTGCTAGGCATGGATTTGGAGGGAGAAAGGAAATTGTGCACCTGTTTCCTGAATTGGCTTTGAATCCGACCCTTGTGCCGGTGAACTCCATATGCATCCTCATCCAGCAGATCCCGCAGATCATCAGCTGCATCTTGGAGCTTCTGCAGCCAAACCCTTGTGGCTTCATCACTTGGCATTTGATCTGCATTTTCGAGGACAGGTTCTATCAATTTGAGCGTCCACTTCAGGTTCTCCAGCTCCTTCTTCAAATCCCCCGAATTCCAGAGTCGTCCGATTCTTCTGCCAAGCGGGGAAGCGCCTCTAGAGAGTGCCTCCTGAATAAGAGGGGTAGCGAAGAGGGTGATAACGGCATCAGCCATTATGTATGCAAGTGCAGAAGTAGAGAAACGATTGCAAACACAATTTGAATTCTAATAAGAGGAGAGGAAACGAGAATAGCTTTGGCAGAGCAGCAACAGAATTTAGATGGAGGTTTTGAACATAATGATTAGGGGAGTTTGACGGAACTTTCATTTTTTACTTTTTGCAAGTTTTTTTTTTTTT